TCAAGTTCAACGCCACAACAACCACCACCATTGCCAATGACGCCATTATTTAAAACAACAATAGATAATACTATTAGTCCCGCTTACTGGAAAGACAACCTTAATTTAACAGTAAATGATATTAAATTTCAGTTTTATTTAAGAGGCATTCAAGTGCCAGAAGAAAGCGAAATACAGGAAGAATTGAAACACAAGGGCAGAGGCAAGGCGAGAACATACAAAGAATATTTAGTAGATATGATTTTAGACACCATTCATAACTGTGGCTGGATAGCAAATTCAAGCAGAGGTAGAATAGATGAACTCAAGGCAAGTTTTAAGGGTAAAGGTAAGAAATAATATATAAATATTAATAATGATAATATTAGCTAAACATATACTGAAAAGAAAGAAGCAGAAATTCAATGATAAATATGATGACGACAGTTTTGCAATACATAACCTAATGAAACCAAACACACCAACAACAAGACAACCACCGAAACTGATGAAAAAGGGCATACCGAGAGAATTTATTGACATTGCAACCAACACAGATACTATTGCTACAGCAACCAGAGAGACTGACGAAAAGCTATACAATGATGCAAATCAACAATTAAATATGACATTTGAAGCGTTTAAGGTAAAGGAAAACCAAGACAATATGTTTAAAATAATGCTTAAAAACTTTTGGCACAACACACATAAGAGAAATGAACCAACAAGACCACAAGCAACACAAACACTGAAACACCAACGCGATGCAATGGTGTCAGCATTCACTACAATGCTCGACAACAACAAACCGCCAGAACCATTGCCAAAGAAACCACCAGACGAGGAGGACAGCGACGAAGAAGAAAGGAAGTTCAAATTGACAAAAATGTTAGAAATAATGCTACACAACAGCGCTACAGTAGCAGATATAATATTAAACTTATCACATAGCGCAATTGCAACAACTATAAATATTGCAGATTTAGTCAATCAGATAACGGCAGGACATGCACAAAGTAGCAGTAATTCTTCTAATGAAATTATTAGTGTTCATAGTTCTCCACCTATTACTGTCCATAGTTCTTCATCTGAAAGTCCAACAGAGATACCAGCACCAACTGAAGACGAAGAAGAAGAAGAAAACCAACATTTCAATTTTGAAAAATTAAAATCTAAATAATATTATATATAATGGATATTGGTCAAAGTAAAAATAATGAAAATAATAGTTTGGAAGACATTAAGAATTTAAGTATAGATGAAAAAACACGAGCAGACACTTTAATTATTAAATCTCTTCAATAATGTGTGACACGAATTGAGAAACTAGATAAAGAAAAATCTGACAAATTAATATATAATCTTCCTGCCTTACAATTTTGCAATGCTTCGTTATATATGTTAATATTATTAATTGCTATCATAGTCTGTCATTTTATCCTCTGGTATTGTTGTTGAAGTAGTACTACTTATATCATCTATTAAATCTTCTTCATCAACAAAACTATTTTGAAATCTTAATAATTCCTCGTTTGTTGGTCGTCTTTTTAACACTTTATAAAGTTTATGTATCCAAGAATTAGTATGAAAGTTATAATTACCTCTACGATAAAATCCACCACATCTACATAGTTTCATTGACATATTATTATATTATATTAAATTAGAATATCTTTATTCATCATTCGTAATTTGAAACGCCTGTTCAAATCTGATATGAAACATTTTGTTAATGTCCTCAGCATTCATATTCACGTAGAAGAAACTATAAGGTGCGTCATTAACGGCTTGATGATACATATCTAATAATTGCTGTTTATCAACAATGGCGCTATTTTCTTCAATAAAACTCATTAACTCACTTGCATTTTTCAACCTAAACATATATAATGAACTGGCATTTAAACGAATGATAGGCGCTAAAACATTATATTTTTGTGTTGAACAAATCACACTTACTGCATCGTGCCTGCCTCTTGTAAAAAGTCCGTGTAATAATTTACTATATCTAACAAATTTAGGATCGTCGGCGTGGTCATCTATCACGACTAATATGGAATGCAGTTTCTTTATCTGTTTAGATTTCATATAATTAATTATTTTCTTCTGTCTTTCAATTACATTTTCTAAATCACTTGGATTATAATTATCAAAACAAATTTGTTCTTTTTCATCATCTACATGTAGTTCATCCCTAATATATTTCTTTACTTCTGTACATGTAGGGTCATTACGAACGCTGGGGGAAAATATAAATATTCTTGCAAATGAATTTCTATAAACTATAAACATTTAAAATAAGGTTCTGGACTAAAACTGTTTTGCCTCCCGTCGATGAAGCAACTATAATACTTCTAAATGGTAATTTTGGCACGTGCTCATATTTGGATTGTTTGAGTTCATATTCAGTTATGTTTATTGGTTTTATTATTGGGACATCTGTCATAGTTGATATTAAAGAAATATAGAAAATTATATTTAAAAATTAGCTTGTAATTAAATGGAACATCATTTTGTTATGAGTGGCGGTGAATAACATAATGGAACAGGTTTTCCATTGCTTCAATCAATAAGCATTGAAGATAATTAGTGTTGTGTCTCGCTCGCGTGTGCAATGAAAACCCCAAGTGCTGTGCCTCACCAATATTCTATTATGCATGAAATAATAAGATTAATTAGAATAGTTTATCTTATTATTTAATATGGGTAGAAGTTATTCAGATTATATTGATATAATAGATGAAGTAGAGAATATAGAACAAGTAATAATAACTGACAATAAAATTAAGAAACGCTGTTACTATACATTAGAATAAATAAAATTAGGAATACAATACATCAAAAATAAAAATGTAAATATTAATATAAATGCCAAGAAAGAGAAAGAGTAAATCAAATTCAATATTAGATAATGAAAGACCAGTGCCAGAAATTCAATTTCGGAAAGAAACAACAGGAAGCGTTAAATCATTAGGTGTGTGTAAAGAAATAAAATGTGATAAATGTAATCATATTATGAACTTTCAACATGACTTAATAGTAGATAAAAAAGGCGGTGTTAATATTAAATGTATTCCGTGTATGTTATCAGTCAAGAAGAAAGACCAAGAAATGAGTGTAGTGAAGAAGAAGGACGGAGATATGACAATAGAAACCAATGACCATTTAGTCAATGTTAGTTTTAATAGGGTAATAACATAGTATTTAAAAAGTAGATTTTACATTATTTAACCAATTGTTCATTAGAATTAATAAAATTAGGAATACAATATATCAAAAATAAAAATGTAAATATTAATATAAATGGTCAAAAGCAAAATTAATGACCAAATACAAGAGGAAAAAATAGTTAAATTACTGCAAGACCAGAAAGAAGGACAAGAAAGAATAGAAAAGACATTAGAAGAGCAAAAAGGAAAACAAGAACAAATGAATATACTAATTGAAACACAGCAAGAAGAACAGAAAGAAAGTAGTAAAGCAATGGACGAAAATATAAAAGCGATTGAAGACAGACTAACAGCAATGGACAATTATGATTATAGCGACTATCAGTATGTGGAACAAACGGGTCAAGGCAATCAAACTAATGAAATCAAAGTGGATAAAGACGGGACTAATGTTAAGTGCCTACCGTGTAAATGTGGAAGGTTGATAAAAATAATTCATACAATGAAAACCAAAGAAAATAACGGAAACTCACGCGAGGAAACTTGGGAACATAACTATAATACGAAATGGGGGTAAATTAGTATATAAAGAGTAGATTTTACATTAAATCAATTCTATAAATAAATGCATATATAAATAAATAATTATATATAAATATATATATAGAAATGTCTGAAGTTGAGAATGATGGTATTGCTGAACTATCAAAGCAAATAATGACAGTTAGTAAAAATGTTAAACTGTTGTACGAGATGATAAAAACTATTGACCAGAAACTTGATGCAAAGGCAAACGAACCAAACAAACAATGAAGAGAAGGAAACGATTGACAAAATCTTTGAAAAGAAAGGGATAGGCAGACCCAGCGGTGATTATGACACGAAGCGTAAAAAAATATTGTGATATGTTAAATATGGGACAAAGCAAAGTCCAAAAGAACAAACATTAGAATACTATAAACTAATTAAGGGTGATGATGGTAGATATGTAATTGTTGAAAATTAAAATATAAATAATTCTAATAATATGAATTTATTAGAATTATTTAGTGGAACTGGAAGTGTAGGAACCATAGCAAAGTCGCTTGGATTTAATGTAATATCATTAGACTACAGAACAAACAACTGAACAGAACAAACCATTTGAACTACATAAATCAAACCTTTAATACCTCAAAACGAATGAACCAGACCTTGCCCATAATATGTCTACAAAATTTGTGATCAAATTTATTGTAAAATAATTATCATAATTTTTGGAATACTATTTTTTGAAAAACTTTGTAAAAGTATATTTTCTAAAATGTATTTTTTAAACTTCATATGTTTTTTATTTATTTTATTTGTAACATTTATTTTTTAAAATGTTGTAAAATTTATTTTTCAAAATTTATATTTTAAAATATGGATGAACTTACTAGGACATTACCTGCTTTAAAATGTTGATTTTTGAAAATGTGCTGTGTTGAGGCGCTGTTTTAAAATGTTGCTAAAAGTGTTGGGGGGGTCTGGGATTTTTTTCTATAAAAAAGATGGGCAAGGTCTGGTCTAACTAACCATAGCATCCCCCCCCCCCCAGATCCCCTGATTTTGCCACAGGCTGTGCGTTTGGGGAGCCAACTTGTAGGTTTCCGATTTTAGGGGCGCGGCAAAACCAACCCTTGAAACAGGGCAAACAACACCCCTATCATCTTGGGGCAATATCGAATGAGCAGTAGGATCTAGGTTCCCTCATGTGGGCGTTTCGATCTCCTTTTTGGTTTCCTTCAAGAATCCCATTTGGAGCAACACTTACTGTAAGCGGAGTTTCACCCTCCAGCCCCCCTCCCCACCCCCATGTTGGGTCCCCAGGTCGCTGCTGATGTGCGCGGCCGCGGGGGGTCACGTCAGCCTGGCCGAGAAGCTCTTAGCCAAGGGCGCGCTGGCGCCTCGGCGCGAAGCCAAAACTCGGCCTATGGCGAGGCTCCTCGCCCGGGCGCGAGTGTTTGGTTTTTTTGCCCCCAACAAAAGTCTCTCATGCTAACAAGACTCCTTAAAAGATCTCCATTTTGCAACCATTTAAAACATGTTGCTTTTCCACCAAAATAAGGGGAAACCACCATTTGCCTTGTAAATGTAAGGATCCCTGAAAACTCTCTCAAGCCTGAGCCATGTGTTGGACCCCATGCTTGAGGTTCTTTTGGGACATCCCAACATCCCTTTGGGTCTTTATAGGGGCTTCAGACCTGGCAAGTTTGCTCGGCAAGAACTTCCCTGAAGAATCCATTCTCCTCCCAGGTGAACGCTCGCACCTCAGAGAACTGCTGCGCTCTATCCTTTGCCATCGACTGCCTCAGCGATGAGGAGGACTGGGGTAGGCTTAGGATGCATTTTACATTTTCCAGTGACTCAAAGTGAAGCAAACAAGTGAGTCTTTGCGCGTTGTTCGTTGTGGGGGAGGGAGAACACGGCACTGCACATATTTCGGTCAGGAGAGCCTCAAGATGATGCGGGTACTCTTGGATGCCCGAGCCAACGTGCACGTGAAGTGCGGCAACCTGCAAAAGATGGTTGCGTAGATGTCTTCCTCAACTGGTAACTGGGGTAAGCTCATGATGTAGATTCTCCGGTTGCAGGTCCCTTTTTCCTGTTTTTGTTGGGTGCGTGGGTGGGTGGGTAGGTGAGTGAGTGAGTGAGTGAGTGAGTGAGTGAGTGAGTGAGTGAGAGAGAGAGAGAGAGAGTGAGAGAGTGAAAGAGGGTGAGAGAGTGAGAGAGTGAGAGAGTGAGACAGTGAGAGAGTGAGAGAGTGAGAGAGTGAGAGAGTGAGAGAGTGAGAGAGTGAGAGAGTGAGAGAGTGAGAGAGTGAAAGAGAGAAAGGGAGTGAGAGAGTGAAAGAGAGAAAGAGAGTGAGAGAGTGAGAGAGTGAGAGAGTGAGAGAGTGAGAGTGAGAGAGTGAGAGAGTGAGAGAGTGAGTGAGAGAGTGAGTGAGTGAGTGAGTGAGTGAGTGAGGGAGCGAGCGAGTGAGCGAGTGAGTGAGTGAGTGAGTGAGTGAGCGAGCGAGTGAGCGAGTGAGCGAGTGAGCGAGTGAGACAGTGAGACAGTGAGAGAGGGAGAGAGTGTGAGAGTGTGAGAGTGAGAGAGTGAGAGAGTGAGTGAGTGAGTGAGTGAGTGAGTGAGTGAGTGAGTGAGTGAGTGAGTGAGTGAGTGAGTGAGTGAGTGAGTGAGTGAGTGAGTGAGTGAGTGAGTGAGTGAGTGAGTGCGTGAGTGAGTGAGTGAGTGAGTGAGTGAGTGAGTGAGTGAGTGAGTGAGTGAGTGAGTGAGTGAGTGAGTGAGTGAGTGAGTGTGAGGAGGAGGTGGAGGTGGAGGTGGAGGTGGAGGTGGAGGTGGAGGTGGAGGTGGAGGTGGTGGTGATTAGATGGAGGTGGTGGTGGTGGTGCAGGTGGTGGTGCTGGTGGTGTTGGGTGGTGGTGGTGGAGGTGGTGGTGGTGGTGCAGGTGGTGGTGCTGGTGGTGTTGGGTGGTGGTGGTGGAGGTGGTGGGTGGGTGGGTGGGTGGGTGGGTGGGTGGGTGGGCGGGCGGGCGGGCGGGCGGGCGGGTGGGTGGGTGGGTGGGTGGGTGGGTGGGTGGGTGGGTGGGTGGGTGGGTGGTTGGTTGGTTGGTTGGTTGGTTGGTTGGTTGGTTGGTTGGTTGGGTGGGTGTTTGGGTGGGTGGGTGGGTGGGTGGGTGGGTGGGTGGGTGGGTGGGTGGGTGGGTGGGAGGGCGGTGGGGTGGTGGCGGGTGTTTGAATGGGTGGATGGGTGGTGGGTGGTTGTGTGGGTGGGAGGGGTGGGGTGGTGGCGGGTGTTTGGGTGGGTGGATGGGTGGTGGTGGGTGGTTGTGTGGGTGGGAGGGTGATGGGAAGGTGGCGGGTGTTTGGGTGGGTGGATGGGTGGTGGTGGGTGGTTGTGTGGGTGGGAGGGTGATGGGAAGGTGGCGGGTGGTTGTGGGTGGGGGGTGGGTGGGTGGTGGGTGGGTGGGTGGGAGGGTGGGTGGGTGGGTGGGAGGGTGGGTGGTGGGTGGGTGGTTGGGAGGGTGGTTGTGATGGTGGTGGTGGTGGCGGGTGTTGGGGTGGGTGGATGGGTGGTGGTGGTGGTGGTGTGGTGGTGGGTGGCGGTGGTGGTGGTGATGCCCCCCGTCCATCACTCACCTCACCACACCGCACCGCACCGCACCGCGCCGCACCTCACCTCACCTCACCTCACCTCACCTCACCTCACCTCACCTCACCTCACCTCACCTCACCTCACTTACTCATTCACTCACTCATTTCGTTTCCATCCATGCCATGCCACGCCTCGCCATGCCATTGTTGCTTCGTTGGCTTGTTGGCTCGTTTCATCGGTGATTCATTCACTTACGCATCCATTCATTGCGTGTTTTGTTTTGTTGGCTTACCAACCGTTCGGCGTTGTGTTTTTTGGTTTTCGCTTAGGCGTGACCTACGACTACACCTGGGGCTCCTTGTTAGTGGGCCAGGGCAACCCCTTGGGCTGCGGGTGCTGCCTCCTGGGCCACGCCAAGAAGCTGGACCTGCTGGAGGAGTATCTTGGTCTGTGGGTTTTGTTTGACTCGTGCACTTGGCGGAGATGTGGGGGGATTTATGGCTGCAAGCGTTTCAATCAGGCGGCTTGTAGCAAATTCAGACATGTTTAAGCGCAGGCTGGGATCCTATGTAACACTGATGCCGAAATTCGCCAAATGGGTGGGCGCTTCTTTGAGGCTCGGAACCTCCTTTTTATTTGCCTTGCTTGGCAAAGCTATTGACACCTCCGACACAAATCCAAGACGGTATGAGGAACCCGTGGGTATTTCAATAAACCCTCAAACATGGAGAGTGCCCATATCATGTGCTGGTACTGATTCAGAGACCCCCGCAAAGGGAGGCATTGCAACTCAGAGTGACCGTCAAGGACCATGGTGAGCTTGCTTGTGGCTCTGATTTCGACGAGCATTTCGAGGTCATTTCCCCACTCAGGAGGCTGATCGGCCTCGGGCCAGGCCTTTGTTGCAAGGCCCTTGATTCGGGAGGTGGGACTGGACAAACTGCCGAAAAGACAGGGCGGGGAGAATTCGATTGCTTGCAAGCCCCATTCGCAGTTTATGATTCCCCGGGTTTGGAAGGATTCTTTTGTCCAGAACCGGGGAGAACGGCTTGTTTCTGAATAGAACGATGGCGAAAAGGATGGGAAGCAACCCTTAGATGCAAGTGACCGGCGTGACCCTTGTCTGCTTTTGGTATCCACCAGATGTGTGTTCCTAAGATTTGTTTTGCTTTTTGGTTCGGCCGAGACAACCTGTTGAGCTTTTGGAAAGTCACCGACCCCTCTGCCAACCACCATGGTCACCCCGAACCCCTCTTTTGCAGCTTCTAGGAGAGTCGCCCTCTTGGGAGTTTTGGATTTTCCGCCAACGTGGGATGTCAGGGTTTGTGGGTTCCTCTGGTAGCATTTGCTTTCACTTGCACAAATCTAAAGATAGACCCAGGCACGGCTATGACCTGCAAGTCAGCAACGCGACTCGGCTCAGAAGAGGCGGCAGCGCAGGCAAGCTGGGCCCAAAGCGAACATGGGGGGCTCATTCGCCTTCAACTCACTCCCTGAGTTCCTGGCCTTGCAAGTTTGACTGAGGAAGTCAGTCAAAGTACGGCATAGAGTCAATGGCTGATTGCATAGGTCCATTTTATGAACCCATGGACATGCATGAACCATGGCTGATTTCCCGCTAGCAGGCAGGCCAGCAAGCAAGCAAGCAATCAAGCAAGGACGCAAGCGTGCAAGCGCAGGAGTTTGCCACCCACACACCTGTCTGTCCACCCACCCGCCCCACCCACCCACACATCCACACACCCACACACCCACACACCCGCACATTGCGTTGTCTGGGTTGTCTGGGTTGTCTGGGTTGTCTGGCTTGTCAGCCTTGTCTGCGTTGTCTGCGGTGTCCGCGTTGCCTTTGTTGTCTGTAGTGTCGGCGTTGTCTGCGATTGTTTGCGTTGTCTGCGTTGTCTGCATTGTCTGAGATTGTCTGCGATTGTCTACGATTGTCTGCGACTGTCTGCGATTGCCTGCGATTGTCTGCGTACGCAAGTGCGTGTGCATGTGCGAGTGCGTGTGGGTGTGGGTGTGGGCAGACAACGCAAACAACAGACAACGCAAACAACGCAAACAACGCAGACAACGCAACGCGGTCAACGCGGACAACGCAGCCAATCGCAGACAACACAGACAACACAGACAACCCAGACAACACAGACAACACAGACAACACAGACAACACAGACAACACAGACAACACAGACAACACAGACAACACAAACAACACAAACAACAAACACAGACACCCAGACACACAGACACACAGACACACGCTTGAACTCCCGAGGGAGGGTACTCATCAAAGTACTGTATGGGTCTTCGAGTAATAGTTTCGCTTGGCTTTGCGGTAGAATCGAAACCGCTACAGAATCAACAAGAAGCACTTGCAGCGAGAGAAACAGCGGGCCAAAAGGACATTCAGCAACATCACTTTACACATGCAGGTACGCTGGGATGATCAGTCCCAGTATCACCACCGATGGCAAGTGTCTTCATTGGCAGGAGACTTGCCATGGTGCTCCTGCCCCCTGCGGTAACAATCAAAACCCAAAAGTGGTGGCAGGGTATTCTGCCACTCCGCACACACACGCCCGTCAGGGAGGGGCGAGTGCTACTTTTCATCCGGAAGACCAAATCAGCGAGTTCGTATTGTCTACCAAAATATCCGAAGCGGTGAGGAGAACGTCAGCTCGAGGACGCTCAGAAGACGGGGACACAGGGTCAACATGTGGAGCTGGAAGTGGTGCACCCCGCTGCATGGTCAACGCTTCCAATCCGGACGGAAAGATCAACGAAGACTGATGTGTTGTGTCAGTCAGCGGAGGGGAGCTGGAGATGAGGTTCATCAGGGAACGATCATGCTGAGGTTGACGGCGTTGAGCTGCTCCAAGTTCTTCCACCTGAATGGAGGTAGCAGTGGTCTGCATGATATCCGGCGGCTCTGCCGAGGCGTTGTGGATGGCAAATGACTCCTGCCGTGTCAACATCGTCTGGTATCCTTGATGCTGCCAATCTTGAATGGTCCAAGCTTCGTAGCGATCGGCCCATTGCTGCCACTGCCCTGCCTGCTGACGCTGATCATCGTTTCCTTGTGGACCATCGTGTTCAGGGACTTCCTGATTCCACACTCGATAGGTGTTATCCGGCACAGGGTCTGCGCCACAGTTGGAGCTCCCCAGGAGTGTAGATCTTCACCCAATCTTGTCCATGCCAGAATGAATACTCCAGCCATGGTTGATGAGGGCCATTTGAGTCCAGGTGCGGGGACGCGGCGTCAATCTCCATGGTGCAGTGAAGAAAGAGGGAGGGTTGAACCACGATATAGGATCCAGCTGCGACCACAAACTGATACGGATGTTATGGACAAATGACACGTGACAAGCACGCAAGTCAACATGACAACACCATTTTGACGCAGGTCATGTGTTCATCAATCTACTCTACATCCGCTTCAAAATTCGACTTCCCCTTGATGCTCGAACTGCAGGGCCGGCCGGTAGTCGGAGAAGGTTCTGCGAGTTCTTCGGGTTCGGATGGAAGTTGGACGGTCTCATCTGTAGTGCGTACAGGTTGATGAGGCCCAGATGCTTGCCGCGTTCGATCAACAAGCTGCTTGCCAACGCTTGCCTGCATACGGGTGAGATCCTCGATGGAGAAGATTGACGCATCAGATGATCGTAAGATCGCCTCGAGCAGTTGCGGGGACATGTCCATGAATGATGACTGTGTAGCCACGCTGTGATGATCAGGGTGAAGAAGTGAATCAAGGTCTTGTTCAGGTTCAGGAGCAGCAACACGCCGGAATCCTTCTGTAGTCCAGTCCCTTGTATGGTACTCCATCACGGGAGTAGACTTGCTTGGGCCATAACTTTCATTCTCGGTAAGTGTGGCGAGGAGGAGGTTCAACATGGTGGTGTCCACGAGCCTGGGTGGAAGACTTTGACATTGACCCATTGAGCCTCTGGTTGTTGAGGATCGGGGCACCGCTCTAACCACGGCATGACTGCGCAAGATCCGGAGAGCGCATCCGAAATACGCACGGCTGCAGTCAGCTCACGAATCATGCACGAGTCACAAGACATGTCAAAGAAGCACATGCAAGACGGATCAACGTAAACAAGGAGCATGCAAGACCGAACACAACGGTTTGTACACGGCAGCGATCAGTGAAGCATTGTCACTCATTGTTGAATTCTAACCCAAGTCCCAGTTTCCCAATGAAATTCTGAATCAGGAGGGCCTGGTCGAACAGGTGGCGGTGAGGGAAGCTGAGGAGGCTGCCAAGGAGGAACCTGAGCAAGGTCTATGCATTCCAGGCGTCATCATGGCTGTAGGCGGACCGGCTGGGATGCGGGCGGGCGAGGGATCGGAGCCGGATCGCCGAGCCTTTGCCATCCTCTGGTGTTCCAGCCACGGCAATGCCAGGTATAAAAGGACGGTCAGCGAGTCCGCAGTGGTGCCTCGCATGCTGTCACGAGGCCAATATACCCCGAAGTGGGCCACTCCCGATAGGTGTGACGTAGTTCCGGAGGCGGTCCCATGGTGAATTCAACCACTGGTTGCCACTGACCCGGCGTGTAGACTCTGATCCATTCAGAGATGTAGTCACCAGGGCCAGCGATGATGTCATATTCGAAGTAGCGTGGTATAGTCCACCTCCCATTCATCGTCCAATTGGACATGATGCGCGAAACTGGTCGTGAGACAACTCAAGTGGCAATGAAACCGAGATATCTGTGAGAGCAAGTACCGCGCAACACAACTCAAGACAATTCAAGGCAGCCGGCGCTATGACAACGCCCAACAAGACATGCGCATAAAGGCAACTTTACAACCTACGATGAGTCTGATGATTTTTGCAGCTACGGGCGCGGGTCACTCACGTTTTCGATGAGCCCAGCATCTGCAGTGAAAACGTCCAGGTTGGTGTCGTACACACGGAGACAAGCACATCTTGCCATTGAGGAGAATTGCGTGGCAGTAGTGCTTGCAACCTGGTACGTGTAGCTCGGGACGATCTTTTGGCAGTGAATATGGTGAATGGTCTGCGTGAGTAACGCGGAGCTGACGACGCGGTGACACTTCTCAGGGTTCGAGCTCGCTTACTGGCGTGTTTCGTTCTGCGTGTAGGCGATGCACTGAGTGAGTGACGTTGATGAACACCAGAACGTAGATGGCGAGGACGTGCTCCCGATTTTCTGGTGCAGTATGATGACGCATCATCTAGGCATGATCCACCAAGCGTTAATGTGGGCATAAAATGAGGATGTGGTAACTCAGGTGGCGGAGGAGGTGGAGGAGGGCGTAGTAGTAGATCTGTGAGTGGAGGAGGTGGTGGAGGTGGCAGTATGTGCAGTTGGGTTCCACCGCGACGTGGGTACTCACGAGCGTCATGCGCAGGACCATGATATTGTAGCCAGGCTGAATGTGCCATGGGTCCAGGTGATGAGCGTCTGAACATTTTGTTCCATCATGTCTTGATCCATCACGTCTGCATGCTGAGCAATGCAAGGGACGCAACAGACAACAAACACAAAACAAACACAAAACAAGTGTCCACGTGCTTTTTGCGGCTGCAGTCATCCTACGGCTTGGTTGATGTTTAATTCTGCGCTTCAAGTCGCTGAAAAACCTTCCAGGCATGCTTCACCTCCTCCGTGCTTTTCTGAAGGAAGCGGGCAATTGTTTTGTAGGTAGGTCGTGAGTCCTTGGCCTTCTTACGCCTGACCATCTCGTCCAACTCCCCTTGTGTCCAGACCGTAAATGGCTCATGGTAAGCGTTGCGAAGCGCAATTGTGAACTCCTGCAGAAGTTCACAAGGTCCATGTGCCAGGATGAGCGAAAAGACGAAGCATCTGGATGCGGGCGGATAGAGTGGTCCGAGTCTGAATCAGGGGTCTCGGACGGAATGGAGGTCGGCGTAGCCATGGGTCCTCGTCTGACGTTGGCATGAGTGTGTGCGGTCATCCTGGGTGGAGGAAGGCTCGCCACGAGGTCAGGCCCGGGTGTGCCTCCATGTAGTGCCTCATGGTCAGCAACTGCTCCCCGAATGGATGACGATCATGTCGAGGAGGAGATGTCACGGGTACATACCACGGGGCGGTGGACATCTCGAACGGTCCGATGTGATGCGCTCGGTGATGATTCGTGGTCGAGAACCATGTCGTGAGTTACGTGGCTGTCTGAGTGCCATAACTGCCCCCACATCAGACGCCGCACTCCGACTCGAAGCCGTGATCTGGGAGGCGAGGGTGTTGAGGACGGTAATCAGGTTAGTCACGAACTCCGTGGACAGCCACATTGCAACCGTTAGCAAGGGAATGACAACTCAAGCAAAGAATGGCTGCAAGTTGACACGACATGGGCAAATCAGTGTGTGCAACTGCTGCATCTGAGAGGTGGTTTGTTTTTACCCTGCTCGGAAGATCAGCGGCCTCTGGGCACCACGCACGCACCCACGCACCCACGCACCCACGCAGCCACGCAGCCACGCAGCCACGCGCACGCACCCTCGCGCCCACACACACACACCCACACATCCACGCACCCACGCACCCACGCACCCACGCACCCACGCACCCACGCAGCCACCACGCGCACGCACCCACGCACCCACACACCCACACATCCACGCACCCACGCACCCACGCACCCCGCCCACCCACGCACCTACGCCCACGCACTCACGCACCCTCGCGGCCGTGCGCGCTCTCACCGCCGCCGCACCCACCTCACGCGCGCACGCACGCACGCACGCGCACGCACACGCACACGCACACGCACACGCACACGCACACGCACACGCACCCACACCCACACCCACACCCACACCCACACCCACACCCACACCCACACCCCCCGCACCCGCACCCGGACCCACACCCACACCCACACCCACACACCCACACACCCACCCACACACACAGACACGCACAGACACAACACCCCACCACGCGCCCAACACCACGCGCCACACACACACACACAACGCGCCACACACCGCTTGCCACACACCACGCCACTGCGCGCATTTGGCCCTTGTGCACTGAAAGAGGTCACTAGTTGCAGTTTCATTTGTTGTGGTGCCCTCAAAAGTGATAGAGAACTTCAGGGTATTTTTCACCACCTTCAATTATCGGTACTGGAGTGGCATCTCTGAGGACATGAATGTGAGTTTGCTCTTCTTTGCTGGCCTCTACTCTACTGTCCAGCAAGACTCCTGGGAGTTGTGCGACCGCCTGGCGAGCCAAGGCTGCCTGACCGTGACAACCAGGGGGCCCGGGCGAAAAACAACTTGTGGGGAAGTGTTTCGCAACTTGAGCCTGGACTTCTGCTCCGGCAACCGCTGAGCCCCGCAACATGTTTCGCAAGTTGCACTGACATTCACGCACGCACATTGCAAAAAATATGTCTCTAGTTCCTTTTTAACCAAAAGGAAAACCACAATGGTTTGGCTCCCCTGGTGCGGACAACGCAAGGAAATTGCGTTGAAAGTGATCAGATAGTCCCGGGGTGATTTTCCACATGGTAACCCTCAATTGGCGGCTTGGATTCGAGGGGTAAATGGGGTTTCCCGCCCCCGGAACAAAACAGCGCTGATTCGTTTTTTTGTATGCTTTGACAGGCGATTGCCTTAGAAACGATTTCCAAGTGAATCATCGAGGAATCTTCGAGGAATCTTCGGCGCGGCCTTTCTCAGAGCCTTGAAGAGATGACAACAAAGAACACGGGTAAACCGAAATGGGCTTGGTCGAGCTTTGCTCTGACCCGGCACCTTTTCCGGCCTTTCCTGGTGCTGGCTTAGGCCTATCCTGGACGGCTCAGATGGCTGGGAAGGATGGGTCCACCTACGACAAGGCCTAGCAGATTCCATTCGATTCAATCCATTGCGCTGGAGTCCAGCCAGAGCAAACAATTTCCCTGTCTTCGGGACATTGAGTGAGTTTGTCTCAATTTCCTTGGCCGTTAAACAATGAAGGGTTCTTCGAAGAGACAGGCCGCGACCAGCTGAGGCCATTTTTGGCAGCCCATGGAGCAACAGTTTGGTCTAGAGGAATGAGACGGCGGGTCAGTTTCGAGTTGAACTTCTTGCACATCAAAAATACGGGGAGTTTTTTTAGGTCCAACCCCCGCGAAAGTCCGCAGAGGCAAAGGTTTTGAAAATCCGCAAGGAAACAGCGAGCTTTTGGAGGGTCCCGTGAAAGTCCGCAGAGGGGTTACTTTTGGAAGGTTTGCAAAGCGTGCGCTGCCTGCCGTTTCACCTGGCCCGTCTCCGAGATCACTCCAAGACCGCTCGAAGAGTACGCCGCTATCTATGATTTGCTTCCCCTGAAAGTTTAACTGAAGGTTCAATGAGCCACAGGTTGAATTTCCACTGGGCTTGGGATAAACCAGAAAAGTGTGCCTGGATGGAACCCGTCTTTTTGTGAGGTACCCCTTTTCCATGCCGCCCACATCGACGGTTGAATTGGCAGGGCTTCGGCATCATGACCATTGGCAGCACATTGATCGACCGCCACGGCAAAGGCAGTGACCAGCGGATGCTGCTCTGTCAGGTGGGGGACATCGTCATAGGAGGCCCCAAGCCTGTGCACTTTTAACATTACCACTACCCGGCTCAGTGGGGTTCCATCCATTTGCTTTTGCTTGGGGTTTGCGGACGCGAAAAATGGAGTTGACCCCAAAACCCCACCCCCAACGCAAAACAGCTTCGGGGAGACCAAACAACAGGGTCTTGGTTTAAACAACCAGGCTCTGGCCTACTTTCTGCATGGATTAGGCTGATTCAACGGCATCGCCGACCGGAAGTGATTGGGAAAAAACAGCATTCTTGTTCGGTCCATGGTTTTGAGTACCGGTGTTTTTCCAACATGTCCAATGTGTTGAACCACGTGCTTCAACATGTCTAAGCCTGGCGCTTTACAGATCGCCGGCCTGGCTTCCCCCGAGCCCCCTGAGGTGATCACCACCATCCCCCAGGTGAAGTACTTGCTGAAAGCAGGCGCGCGTGCCGCCCCTTCAACCTTCCCTCCCCCCCCTTATAAAAAAAAGAGCAAGAAAGAGAAAAAAACAAAAAAACAAAAAAACAAAAAAACAAAAAAACAAAAAAACATGTAACAGCGCGGTTTGCTCCAAAGCCAAAGAACCGCGCGGCGCACGACCGTCCCGAACGGCACGGGCCCGCGGTTTGGATCATTTCGACGGTGCCGGGAAAAGGGGTGAAGCTCAGTGAAGCTCCATGAAACGATGAAAGACGTGGCTTCCTCTTGGCCATTGGGAAGCCGAACCCGTTGCGATTGGTCATTCCTATGGCTCTGGCCTCACCAAAAGCAGGTGAAGCCTTTGATATATGAAATTTGGTTCTGGGAGCCAGTTGATCTGTTCAACTACATGTCGGTATGCTGTGTGCATGGCTGGATTTAGCCGTGCATCGCCCTTTGAGGTGGGATGGGGGGAGGCAGACAAACAGACAGGCAGGCAGGGTGGGGGGAGGGACAGCAGGCGCGCAGGCAGGCGGGCAGGCAAGCAACGCAAGCAAACAAAAACAAACAGGTGCATAACTGCATAACTGACTCTAAAGTGTCAACTGCACCTTTCCTGGGCTCTCCGCGCTGGAGGTTGCAACGTCAATGACTGTGGCACCAGCCTCGATAAGCAGAACATTCCCTGGGTGTGGACGATGATCACGTGGCCTGGGCGGCATAGGTTTCTAGCGATGGTTTGAATCCTAGTTTCTTGTGAAAGTGCACAGGGTTCCCGATTGATTTCCCGTTGAGGCGTAGTTTTACATCACCGCTTGGTCGCCGATTCAAAATGAGTCTCGCTTTGGGGTGACGTTCAAAGCTTCCTATTGAGTGGCAACCACGAAGTTCTCAGTCTTTGTTTGGCAAATCCAGTCCAGAAGTGAGAAAGCCTTGCAAGCTTAGACTTGTATGTCCCAGCTGCCCAGTGTTTTTGTCATTTTTTTGGGAAGGGTTCCCCTTTAAACTCGACCAAACCCACTGGCATCTGAGATGTCAAAACATTTGCCTGCGCCCCGACCTGTGCCCCGAGCTTGAAGATGGTCCATTGGAGGTGCTCGCCTGAGACCGTGGTCGGAGACACCACTCTGCTAGATATCTGTAAAGAGGCCGGCTTTGTCTACAGCAAGGCGCGGCGCGGCAAAGCTCGCGTTGTTTGTTATGCTTGTCTTGGGTTGGGCGTTGTGGGTCTCTGAGTATTTATATATATATATACACATACAAAGGGCGGTAAGGCCTGTTTGTCTTCATGCCCTTGTTGATGAGCCAGTGGAACCGAGTAAATGTAGGTTAGTTAGTAAAGGCACGGTCCCAGCCATGGGTGCAGATATACGACGTCTTTATTCCTTGCATGAGGCCACTTCAATTTGCTCGCTATGAGACTGCTGAGATGGTCTAACATTCAACCAGCCGCAGGTCCATAAGGCCAGCCATACCTGTTTTGAAAACTCAGGGACGCCACAAACCCTTGGGTAGGCTGAACGAGCCCTAATGGCCGGGATTGACGCTTGGGGAATCAATTCCAGAGACCCCTAGCAAGCTGATCGGGTCTTGCAGGCGTCAGCTTGCCAAAAAACACTATTGGGCAAGGGTGCTTTCGGTTGAAACTTCCAGCCCCGATGATTCGTCTGTACGGGACTCGCCCATCCACTCTTTTCTTCAGACATGCCCGGGCCAACGAAAGTCGACATTGCCAGAAAGAATCCCGCAAGTGACGGGCCATGTTTTTATTCACGGAGGTTGCGCAGCGGGGTCTTGGGCAAAAATGTAGCCGTAGGTGTGCGCTTGACTTAACTCAGAGTCCGTTTTTGTTTTTTTTGGACTAGGATTCGTTTTTTGAAACACACCTTTTTTTGGTGAGCATGTAAGAAGCGCTCGAAAACAGCCATCTGCCAATAGACTGATGCAGGAGTTCTCTACACATTGATGTAGAAGCCCTCTTCTTTCTCACAGCAACTCAGATGACAAAATCATCGGGGCCTTTTTCTTTTTCAGCCGCAAACCTAATTTAGGACCTCCATTTGTTTGCTGTTTGGGCTTACCAGGGCTTCACAAACCTTTCTGAGCACCTAGGCCAAGAGTCGTCTCTGGTTTGGGGTTTGCGGTGCGCCTTGTTTTTCGAGGGCGAGCCTTTGGGGTTTCTACCCAGAGTGGCTTCGTGGCTCAAAAATGAGCCTGGGCTTATTGAGCACGTGGCTCGACTTTTTCTGATCGGGAAGCACCCGTTCGCGAACGAGATTTTGTTTTCAACCTTCAGACGCACAGCCTGCTTGCAGCATTGCAGGTGGCGATGGCCTATTACTACCCCCTGATTCTGGACCTAAAGATCGACACTCTCATGATCGCCTCCCTCATCAGCTGCGACTCTCAGGTCGTCTTGTATTTCATGAAGGTTCAGGCGGAGGAGCACTGGAAGCACAGCTCGGAGTTTGAAAACCGGAAGGTTTTTCGTGTTCAGTTGCTTGGCGGGCGGTTTTTTGCTTCTTCCGGGGAAAGTAGAATAAAAGACGTGTTTTCAACCTTTGCGAGTGGGCCTGCGACATGTCATGGAGGGCCACGGAAGGGTGAACACACACTTCTTGAAAAAACCCAGAGCATTTTTACATGACACTACTTTTGCGAGGCCTCACCTTTCTCACGCTGGATAATTTTCCACAGACCTTTTGCTCATGATAGCACGCAGCAAAGCCCTGGGTCGCACGGGAGTTCCGCCCGCTGGCATGCACGTCGTCACGGCATGACATGACACGAGTTTCGCCAAGTTTCGCCAAGATTCGCCAGGTTTCGCCGAGTTTCGCAAGAAGTCGATTTTCACTGGTTTAGAACACTTGTTATATATACGCCAGAATTGCAACGAAGAACACTTGTTTCGTGAGAAAGAAAAACAAGGACAACACCTCTTCCTTTTTCCGGAGAGCGCGTTACGCCAAGTTGCGCCAAGTTACGCCAAGTTTCTCCAAGCTTCGTCGAGTTACGCCAAGTTTCTCCAAGGGAGCCAGAGCCTCCGGACCAATCGGAAGTTGACACCACGCGGTGGGGAGCAGTTGCAAGGAGTTCTATAGGAGTACGCGCCGGCAATCCGACAAACCAAGACGAGGGAAGGAACCCGTGGAAAATCGCTGAGCACCTCCCATGTTTCCCGGAGGTGCCGAGGTGCCCATGTTTGTTTGGAAATGCTTTTCCATCTGTTGTGCAAGGCAAGAAGTGTTTGGTGACTTGATGCCAGTTCCCGAAAACACTTGTCTGAATTCGCGCAACAAAAGCACCTCAAAAACACGTGTTTCACCCAAAACACAAAACCTCAAGCACTTAACGGGTGTCGAATGGGCAAACAGAAAAATACACCCCGAAGAGTTTGAAAGGTCATCAATACCCGGGCAAGCGGATTTCAATCGAGGTTAATCCACGTGAGTCACAATTAAGACTGATTCAAAATGAGAGGAGTAAGGGACAATCTCAAATGAGAGCGGCCATTCTTTACACATATTTTGTCGGGACTCAAAACAAGCTCACCAATTCGAGGCGCGGTTCATTTTTTTCCATTGGCCAATGGCCCATTGGGTTCTCACGCCTAGAGAAGCCGACCTCTCAAGGCCCCAGGCTTCCGTTTCTTGACGAAAAGGTAGAGAGCTGGCCGTAGCTCATTTGTGCTGAGTGTATCCTTTAAGCTTGGTTTTGTGAGGGAAACCAAAAAATGTCGACTGCCTGACTGTCGCCTGAATTTAGAATTCTCCGCTTGATGGCTCTCCTTTCGGTCCCTCAACGCATAGCTTCGTGCGGGCGGGTGTTTGGTGATTCAAAGACCGGAAGGGGACCGGAGACCTCAAGGTGTCATACCGCGCTTGGTATGGCTTCTCTTGGTCAGGTTTCGCTAGGAATCTTTTTGGGTGGCACAAACGTCATCCATTTGGTGGGCGTCTGAAGATGAGAATTTTCTTTGGGGACGCAACTCGAGACCGCCAGATGTAGCGATCTCGATGGTTTCCAGGTTCTTCGAGCCCTATGTGGAGCACCCAGGAACAGAGTTCCATATATTTCTGCCCTTGGTGTTGCTAGCATCAAAACCGTTTTGGGCCGTTCTAACATGAGCTTCCTTGACGTGGACGTGTGCGCGTAAATCACCAGCGTCTTGAACGGCGGATACGGCGTGCTTCGAGCTCGATCCGGGAAACCAAACTCAAGCCTTGACTTGCAGCTCCCTTTCAGGTTTTCAGGACACATCCTTCGGGCAGGGCCACTCGATTCGTCTTTCGAGTAAAGCCCATCGAGCTAAACTGGCCCAACCTTTGACGCCTTTGCCACGCTCCACCTTGGGAAAGTGGCGTCGGAGCCTGGAGATCGGAACTGCCCGAGGGCACCTTGAAGCCAAAGGTGACATGACATGCATTGCTTCCAAGGTGTTCGATCCTCACTTTGGTCCGATGCTTCTTCCATCGGAATCGATGGAACTTTGTGGTGGAATGGGGAATTGTTGGGGAGGCATGAAACATTGTCCGGGTTAAACTGGGGCTACTGAACCCAAAAGTTGGTGCCCGCATGCCTTCAGATGAGGCTCCTGAAAACCGGCGCGCGATTTGTTTTTTGACCACTGCTTGACCGGCCTTTCTTATTGATCTGGCCCCAGAAAGGTGAAGAATAATGTGGAGGATATTTGTAACCATCCCCCTTAGAGTGGATTACTCGAGAATCATTTGGGGGTTGACCAATATTTCTGCTCCCAAAATGACCATGGATAACTTTTTCAACTTAGTGGGAAGTATCATCTTTTTTGGTGGTTTCCCCAATGTCATCCCATGTAAAGGTGCAAAGGACCTTTTGATCAATCCCAAATTGGGGCATCTGATTGGAGGAGACCAAGTGCCCCTTGAACGTGGAGCCCAAGTGGGGCAAGGACGCGCTGTTCCAAGCCAAGCACGCTGGGAACAAGGACGGACTTGGATTGGGAGGGGACGGGAGGCTTGCAGGAGTTTTCTCTGATCCAATCTTGGTGGTTGTCAATAAACTTATTTGCTTGGCTTTTTTGGGTATTATTTTTGTTTGAGGGAAAGCCCTATGAATCAGGTGCCAGGGGAGGGGCTGGTCCCTATCAGCTTATGGGTGCAGGAGCTCGTGGGATTCCTTAGGTTTGCCCAGTCTTCAATAACCCGATCGATGCAGATCTATGGGCTGCAGCCACTGATGAGGCCACAGGGAAGCCATAGCAACTCAAGTGCCTTCCATGGCTCCCCTGACTCATCGATGGACAAAAGGGATCGGAAAATGGGTGTACAATCGATATCGGGATGCCCGTTCAATAGTTCCCCACACAGTTTACTGTTGGGGTCCTTACTCTACCAAAAAGAACGGCCCGCATGCTCCCAGATCGCCGGGCCGCATGCTCGCCAGTGTGCGCATTTACTTGTCTCCAGTACGGGCCTTCATTTGGCGCCCAGTGCTGCCAGATCGCCGGGCCACATTCTCGCCATCTCCCCATGCTGTTGGATCGCCGGGCCGCATGCTCGCCAGTGGGCGCAGTTTCTCGTCTTCCAGTATGTGCCTTCATTTGTCTCCCGGTGCTGCAAGATCGCCAGGCCGCATGCTCGACAGTGTGCGCATGTACTTGTCTCCATGTTGCTCGTTGGTGCAGAAGTGTGTTCACCGTCGGCGCATAAAAATGTTCATTGTTGGCGCATAGGCGTGCTCACCGTCGGCGCGCAAGAGTGTGCCTTGTGGGCGGACAAGTGTTCCCTGTCGGCGGACACAAGTGTTCCTTGTTGGCGCACAAGTGTGTTCACTGTCAGCGTGCCAAGTGTTTCTTGTTTGCGCACAAGCGTGTCTCACAAGAGTGTTCCCCGTTGGCGCATAAGCGTGTTCTCCGTCGGCGCATAAAAGTGTGCTAGGCGGCGGCCCCGAATGTGCTGGGTGGTGGGACATCTATCTTTTCTTGGCCCTGTATTTTGCGGATGGAGCCTGCGTACCTTCCAGAAGTGCCAAAGTGCAGCTGGATGCCGGTTGAAAACCCTGCGTGTCAATTGAGAGGGAAAACCATTTTGGGCGGTCCCTCAAGAGGACACATTCTCTGAGAAGCGGCGCGTTGAGCAAATCCGCAAAACTCTGCCAAGTGAGTGCCAATGTTGCAATATTGTCTATATTATCTTTGCAGGGCGAATTGCCGGAGCACTCTGTTGTGAGAACTATTTTGGCCGCTCTGCCGGGCGCCATGGGACGTGTGTGGCTGTATTGGAATTGGCGTCTTTGGTTCATAGCCTGACAACACATTCTTGCTATGCTGGTATATTTTCCGGCGGGGCCCATCAGCTCGTAGATCGAAAGATGACATTGGCTTTTGAACTGGGCTGGGGTTAGAAGAAAAACAACGCCAGATGTGTTTTTTTGCCGTGCGTCGATTGGTTTGGTCGAGCTGACAGGTGTTTGTGGACACGTACGACGATTGGCTGCGGGCCCGGATGAAGCAGTACCAGGACCTGGGGGGGGGGGACGTTCCAAACATGAGCGGTCAAAAAGGCCATTCTAAAATCTACTTACTACCTGAAAAGTCGATAGGGCCTTTTAAGGGCACCAAGCATCAATGGGTTTTGGGCGCTCACTTTGCCCCAGAAAATCGTCCAACCCAGCTTAAAAGAGTCCATCTACTCTACTTGCAACACGACACTTGGCAATTGTCCAGCCCGAAGTTTGTTTCAAGACGCGCTGAAACCAATCTGGGCAAAAAATGTGACCCAAGTCACCCATGAACGTTGCTTTCATAGGAGCCCTAAAAAGGATTGTTTCAGCTCGCAATCATGCTTTGTTGGGAGGCCCAAATTGGTGCATGATTCGACGTTTGCCAGACTACTGTTTCAACAACTGTGACTCCTGCTGGAACGCATGTTAATCAGGGGGCACACCCTTGATCCAAAATGTTCAATGCGCAATTGTTGAAGCCGCCGCCTTTTGGCTTCCCTTCAACGGGCCTCATGTTTTTTTTGGTGCGTTGTTTTTTGCGGTGGGTACCTTTGCCGGTTGCCTAGGGAAGCGAAAAGGAAGGCCATTTTTTTTGACACAATTTTCCGACGCTTGGGGAAAACTATCCTTACATGATGTCCCATACGCCTAGCCTGCCAGCTTACCCACCCTTGTTTTTGCAGGTTTTAGAAACCAGAACAAACCAACCAGGACAGCAAGGGGAAGAAGTGAGAGGATCGCCCGGTCCGTTTTTCGCGGCCAAGAAACGCCGACTCTGGAGAGACAAACGCACACCCACACACACACACACTCACAATAGCAATGCTTATTACTGCGATGCCAGGGACCCGAGTCAGAAGTGAAGAATCAGTCATTGGGCATGCCTTGCATCGCAGTCAACTCCCACAACCACAGTTATTATCTGACTCCCCCAAGTCTGGACTCTTTTCGCCCAATTCACTCAGGAAACGAGTTGTTATGAATCAGGTCCCTAAACGGGTTGCAATACACGGGTTCCGATCGATGTAGCCTCTTAGAGCCCATGTTGGGGAAGTCTTTTGTATTTTTCCGGAAACCCTCTTTGGGTTGGTTTTAGAGAGAAAACCCAACCTACAGTATTACACTCAGGAAGTGAGTTATGACTCCATTGGGCGGAGGGGACAATACGCCAGCCACCGGCCGGGAGCGCGATGCTATACGCATGCGCTCCAAGCTCAACGTCCCCGGGAATCTGGAGATTTCCAGAGACCTCTGGGTCCCCCAAAAAAGCAGTTGTCCTTTTGGTTTCCCTTTAAACCAAGGTGAGAAGCGAGGAACAGGCTGGAGTCAGCAACCAACTGTTTTCTTTGTCGTCCCCCACCCCATTTTCCCACAGAACCAAAGAAGCAAACAACCAAGAAAGCAACACCACTCCACGAACAGTGAAGCGTAGCCTCAAACAACCACACACGCGCCTCTGGGGTTTGGTCAAATGACTGGGACTCACCAAAGGTAAGTTTCCCACGCCCGCCTCTTTTTGGGGAAGGAATCATTTGACCGTGGCACCTTGGAAGCCGAAATAAAGCACGTCTTTTGAAAGGCGTGGTCTTTTCGTGGGAGCAAGATCACATTGTGTTGGGTGTCTCCCTTTTTTCCGTCAGGGCAAAGACTTAAATACACATTTGCCGTTCCGAATGCCTGTCCAGACCGAAATCAACCCACACGCTTTTTTTGGGGGCGGGGGGCACATTTCAGGAGGACAATACAACAACCCCTGTTGTATAGAAAGCCAAGACGGTCTGTTTTGGTTTCGAAGGATATCCAACAGGAACCCACAATACCCTTTTCAGGAACCGTCAAATCGGTTCCATTTTTGATATTCCCCCCCTTTACCGGTTGACGTGAACCCAAGAGATCACCCGGAAGTCACCACGACTCGGGGTTGGGAGCAGAGGCTCGCACCGGTTTTCAAGTCCGCCCGGTCTGAGTTTTGCGCGCCGAGGTTTCTTGAGGTTCTCAGCAGGGAAGGAGCAACCCCGAACTGAACCACCCCCCAAGTAGCTTGGGCGAAATCCCAAACGCTTGCCAAAACCGTCGCATTCTTCCCCGCTGAGAACCTGCAAGTTTTGCCCAGAACAGCTTGCAGCATTCAGGTTTTGATTGGCCGGAGGTTCTGTCAAGATTTCCAGTACGGTTGATTTGGGAAGGACATGGGGGGACTCACAAATCTTACGCAAACTTAAGCGGACTCACTGATTTGCACATGTCCATTCTGGGCTCATGCGACCATGCGAGTTGTCTTGTTCCTATTTCACTCTTGGTAAGAACCACTGGTTCGGTGTGTGTGTGTGTGTGTCGGTGTGTGTGTGTGTAGGTAGGTGTCGTCTTTTTTGGTTTTCCTTAAAAGCAAGCTGAAAAGGGTGCCCTCAAAAAGCAGTGTACGGACATATATATATATATATATATATATAATATAATAAAATATAATATAATTGTAATGTGATATAATGCAAGATAATATAATATATGTTCCAGGCGGTGGACCCTCCTCCCCCCCCCCAAACCCCCGTGTGGGGGTGGGGTGGGGGTGGTTGGGTGGGTGGGGTGTGGTTTGGGTTGGTTTAGGGTTGGTTTAGGGTTGGTTCAGGGTGGGTATAGTGATATAGGGTTGGTTTAGGGTTGGCTTGGGGTTGGTTTAGGGTTGGTTTACGGGTGGGTTAGGGTTGGCTGAGGATTGGTTTAGGGTTGATGTAGGGTTGGTTTGGGGTTAGGGTTGAGGGTTAGGGGTGTAGGATTGGTTTGGGTTGGGGTCTGGGGACCGTAGCAGCGGGGTGTGGGACTGGGGAGGGGGAGGGGGGCCTGGAGGGGGGGGTGGTGTTGCATAGTTTGTGTGGGTGACAAGTCTGTTGAGTAACAACAGCGAAGAGTTTATAAACTTTCAGGAAAGTTTGTAAACTTTGTCAAGGGTTTGACGGTTTCCCTGCAACAAGGCAACACCTGGGCACCTGGGAGCAGGTTGAGAAGTCTGGGGCATGGGGAGGGAGGGGGGGAAGGGGGGGGGAGAAGTCTTTAACAAAGTTGGTTGAGTCACACCTCACGACACTTCCAACCACCACCCCCCCCTCCCAAGACTTCCCACCCCCCCTCCCCCTCCCTTTCAAGGATACCAGGACCATGAAGACTTCCCAGGGTGTTGCCTTGTTGCAGGAAGACGCCAAACACTCAAGAAGGTTTAGAAACTTTCCTACAAGTTTATAAACCTTATGTAGGCTTAATGCATAGCAAATGGATACTGTTGTTTGGGGAAAAGGTTGTTTGGCAAAACACTGTGTTTTACAGCATTTTGTTGGATCTCTATTCCCTTAACATTTCCATTTCGGAACACCTAAAACCTAGAATCTGGAGATCAGAATCCTCGAAGTGTCTAATGTTGGATTCTCCAAGCCTCCTAATTTGGAGCTGGGAGTCCTCCAACATGCATTCCTTTCCAAAAAGGATTTCACTCCGAATTGAATTGGAATGTTGAAGGGAAAACTGTTGTTTGGGAAATGAACAATCTTCGGCCCAAGGGAACACAATCTGAGCAATTTCTTCAAAACACTTTGTTTTACAGCATTTTGTTGGATCTCTAATCCCTTGAAATGTCCAATTTGAAACACCTGAAACCTAGAATCTGGAGATCAGAATCCTCGAGATGTCTAATGTTGGATTCTCCAAGCCTCATATTTTGGAGCTGGGAGTCCTCCAACATTTTTAAATATAGATTCCTTTCCAACTACTGCGAATTGAATTGGAATGTTGAAGGGAAAGCTGTTGTTTGGGGAAAATCAATCTTCGGTCCAAGGGAACACAATCTGAGCAACTGCTGCAAAACACTGTGTTTCACAGCATTCTGTTTGATCTCTAATCCCTCGAAATGTCCATTTTTGAAACACCTGAAACCTAGAATCTGGAGATCAGAATCCTCGAAATGTCTAATGTTGGATTCTCCAAGCCTCATAATTTGGAGCCTGGAGTCCTCCAACAAATCCAAGTACACATTCCTTTCCAAATACGATTTTGATCCGAATTGAATTTGCATATTGAATGGAATTTAGTTCACCACCATTCATAATTCACCATAATGTCTATATTTGATCAAAATTTGAACAGGAATACCTTTCCAAATAAGGAAAATATCATTGCAGTAGAATCTAAATATACTTCCATGCAGACAGAATTCAATTAGCTTTTGAACATAATAATTTAATCAAGAATCCATCCCCAAATACAACTTGAATTGGAATATAGCTTATTCTGGAAAGAAATAACTTGGCCTTTGCAAACAAATTTTAATAGTAACTCATTCCCAAATATGATTTAGCTTAAATGTGGCTAAACAAATAAAGGGCACATATCCCCAGAATCCCAAACTTGGTCTGGAGATGTGTTTGGCATGTGCAGGTCTCAGAGCTTTCATTTTCAGGAGATTTTGTGCTTTTGGGTCTGTGCAGGTTGCAGAGCTCAAAGCTGCAAAAAACATCACTTTTTCAATGTTTTTCCCTGGTGTACTCAAAACCACTGTAAAAACCAGTGATTCAATCAAAGCCAGGCTCGAATCTGAAAAAGGATTCCGTTTTCGCTTTGTTGCCTTTCAAGCTGAAACAAAGCAAACATTTGCTGTCATATAGAAGGTAAAACACCAACAGAAACACAGTATTTTACAGTGTTTTCAGGCATCTGCAAGAACGAGGCACACGGAGTAGACTTGACACCTTCAACTAGAAGAGAGGATAGGTAGGCCCTTGGGGGGGGGGGGACCATATATCTATATATATATAGTATCGGGCTAGCAGTTAGAATATATTTTTGAGAGTAAATGAAAATGCACATTTCAAAAGTCTATCAAAAAAAGAGTTAGAATAAATAGGAAAAAGTCAGTTAGAATAAAAAAATGAAGATAGAATATTTCAACCAAAAAGAAGACAACAGATAGAATATTTCAAAATAAGAAAACAACAGATATAATATTTCAAAATAGGGGTTTCTGCTATGAACAACTACTCTGCGATAAATGTCCTCCTAGCTGCTAGCCCGTTGCTAGATGTTTATATGTATATATATATACACGGCTTTCAGCAAACCATGTGGGTCCCATGATTTTCCATGTGGGTCCGTCTCTCTTTCAAGGGTATATGCAAAACCAAACGGAAACCAACCGTTTTGAGGGGTCCCCTCAAAGAAAGACACACGCATTTGCCAAAGGAATGCATGATGCATGGCTTCTCCATTTTTTCGGAGCTCAAATGCTCAGCCCGACGGGCCATGCCCCTCTCCCACAGACAGATAGACTGTTTCAAAATAAGGGTTTCTGCTATGAACAACTACTCTGCGATAAATGTCCTAGCTAGCCTGTTGCTAGATGGTTCTATGTACGGCTTTCAGCAAACCATGTGGCTGTGGGTCCCATGATTTTCCATTTGGGTCCGTCTCTCTTTCAAGGGTATATGCAAAACCAAACGGAAACCAACCGTTTTGAGGGGTCCCCCTAAGAAAGACACACGCATTTACCAGAGGAATGCATGGCTTCTCCTTTTTTCGGAGCTCAAATGCTCAGCCCCACGGGCCATGCCCCTCTCCCACAAACAGATAGAATATTTCATATACAGCAAATTCTCCAGAGACTCAAACGGTACCGAGCCCAAAATATTCATGAACACCTTTTGGGGGGGGGGGGCACATAGAATATTTGCTTTTGCAAACCTTCATCAGGTGATTCATCGTATGCATAAATTATTGAATATAGAGATAGTAAATATTGGA